CCCCAAAACCCCAAAACCCCAAAACCCCAAAACCCCTAGAACATTCAAAGTATTGCTAGAAATAAAATTAAATATGGATTTTATTATCTTCAAATTTCATCACGATCACAAAGAGAAGACGTTGCTAATCAGAAGAGATGATATAACTTTAGGATACCTCCGACTCCAGACTAGAAAGCTTTTTAAGATGCAGAAATAATTTCAGGTTTGCCATCTCATATGAATTGATAAAACCAGGACATGAGAATGATGAATCTCCTAACAGGCATTACTATTGTTCCAGACCAGATGAAAGACCTGAGAAGTTATTAATGAATGATCAACAGCTAGCAAAGATCCGAAAGGGCAGAAGAAAATAATCATCATGATACTGCAGTCAGAATTATCGTTCATACCACTCCAAACATAGTAGGGCAGTATTATCAACAAGCATCTCCTATAAAGAACAGATCTATTGGAAGCAAGAATAAGAAGAGAAACAGGTCTTCTTCTAGTAAACGAAATATTAAATCTACTCCAAATAAAGGCAAGAGGGCCAAGTCAAATACAAAAGAGATTGTGAAAATCAAGGCTGATAATACATATGATTACAGTCTCCCTCCATCTGTGTGGGAGGTGTTCTTAAAATCAATGCTCAATAACCCTGACAACATTGAGAAACTCAAGTTATTATACAACAATAGCCCTATCAGAAATAAAAAGTATAATATCTCAGATTTTATTAATCCAACGGATCTACTTGTGAGGAAGATGGAAACTGAACTAGGTATACAGGGAAGGTCAGCCAGAGAGTTCAAGTCTCCCTCTAAGGACTGGTGTACATGAGATACATATGATTCAGACGATACTTCTAATGCAGCAGCCTCTGTAATTCATCATAGGAGGAATAAACTAAGCCTTGACTCCAGAAAATCGCCGGATTTAGTGCAGAGAAAGCAAACTAATGCTGCTCAAGTTAAAGAAATTGAAAGAAAGTTCATGGATGTTGGATATGACTCAGATGACGTATTTGCAAATAACCCAAGCACTCTTATGGGAGCCAAGTATAAAGTGGTAAGAAAATTTGAGAAAATTAAAGAAGATCCTCCTCCACCACCTCTCCCGAAGGACGATAAATGTCCTATTTGCAAAAAGCCAAAATTAGTAGACACGATTAGTCAATATAATACAATCCAGTCAAGAATGAATGGAACTGTCTCTATAAATTCAGAGAAATTTCAAAGCCCTCACTACAGAAGAGGCAAAGACACTGATTCGGACACTTTCTTGGGTAAATCCATTGCAGAAAGGACTCACAGTGTTAAACAACCTAAAAAAATTATTAGAAAGAAGCGTAAAAGAAGCAAAAAGAGCCAGGCTAATAGATCAAGCATGTTATCAACCCCAAGACGTTGATTAAGAGAGTGCTGAATTCATAAAAGGAAAGCTGAAGAAGAAGCCAGTAGTCAAAGAAGTATTAGCTCTAGAGGAAAATCAACAAAGGAGTTTAATTTCTCCTCATCTGCAGTTATGAAATCAGTTAAAAGAAACAAATTGAATAAAACAGCTAATATTGACAAAATAAGTGTTGGAAATGGTTTATTAAATCATCAAAAAGCAAGAACAGAGAATACCTCGATCTTGAAAGAAGGAGGAACAGTTCCAAGTTTGAAGCAGGATCAAACCAATCCCGGGTTAACTTATCAGCTAAAGAATTTCTCAAAACAAAAACTCAGATTTAACCTGGCTGAAAATAGTGCCACTTTTGGTACATCTCAACAAAAATCAATATCCCAAAACTCTTCCAAAGGTAATCATTCACCTTCAAAAATATAGGAATAAAACAAACTCTCAAAAACCGGGTTAAAATAATCAAACGAAACTCAAGAAAACCCGAAAACCCCTACTCATCTCTCAGACCTCAAAAACCTGCTCGCCAAAAGAACACCACCTCCTCTAACCCTCACAAACATCGAAAATACACAAAACCATCCCCCAAACTCCTCAAAAACGACTTTATTCCCCAAGACTCTCACAACCAGACCTTCAATCTCACCCAAAACATCCCTCTCCAATCCCTCCCAGCCCACTCCCAGACCACTTCCAAACCCAGGCCAGGCACTCACTACGAGTACTCCAGCCACCACCAAACTCTAAATCCTCGCTCTGACCTTCCCAAATTTGTTCGTCCTATTACTCGTAAAAGAGGCTTCAAGTCAACGATAGCGAGTAATACAGCTATAAGGGATAAAAGAAATAGAGAGTTAAATAATGCTAAATCTGAAAACTCTGGTTTAGGAAGGAATGCTAGATTCCCCAAAGTCAAGAATAAATCGAGATTGTATAACTAAAAATACATTGGCCAATATGAAACATTTAAAATATCAAGACTGTCTTTTCAATATTAATTGAGATATTAGGGGTTTTGGGGTTTTGGGGTTTTGGGGTTTTGGGG